TCACACCAGCCTGGGGTCCACACCGGTTTTTCAGAAGTATTTCCTTGTAGCTAGTCTTCTTCCTGTGACACAAAAGAACACTGTTAACAGAAACTCTAATTTTTGTTTAGCTCCTTGACTCAAGAACTCACTAGCCAGACAAGGCACTGAAAGAAAAAGGAACTTCGTCAGGAAGCTAAAAAAATTAAGGAAGTGGGAGGGAATTTGCAAATCCTTAATTAGCACCATGTGCTAAAATCTTTTACTTCCTAAATGTTTGTTAATAAAACTTGATAGGCCGTGACCCTCCTCCCTTGTGTTCCCCCCTTCAGAGAATGCCGAATAGACCGTAGAGAAAATAACATCAGAAATGAGAAAATAACAGTTCATATTTATTTAAAGTTCTACACCTTTACTCGTTTAAGTGGGTACTGTTATAAGCCCACTGGCAGTTGAACGATTCCGTGGTACAGAGATAAGTCATTTGCTACCACCAATGAGTGGCCTCTGACCTTCCGCACTGCAGCGTCGCCTCCCCTACTGCAGGAAGGGTCAGGACGTAGATGCTCTCCCCGACCAGCCCCACCTTCCGTTTACAAAACCGGGACCCCAGACTCTCCTCTTCCCAAGAGCCCAGGTAGCCCAACACAACCCAAACCTCGGAAGCTGTCCCTGACTCCCCCTGCAACTCTCGGAGCTCGGGTCCCACCCTCCCACACCCGACCCGCAGAGGCGGCGGAGTGCAGGAACGTAGGCCGAGCCCCGCCCCCGCACAGGTGCGCGCCGAGTCTCGCGGGCTCGCGCTTCCGGGCCGGCTGCAGCCCCCGCCGCCGCGCCGTTCCGTCTCCTCTAGGAATCTGGAGGTTCTCCTCTCTGTGGTTGCCTGGCTGCGTCCCCGCCCCGCACAGCCTCCGGCGGCGCCCGCAGTTGAGCGGGCGCCCAGGACAAAGAGCGCGCGAACCTGGGCTGCGCTGAGATAAGGCCGGGGGCGAGGTCTGTCCCCGAGGAAGAGGAGTTCCCGCGGACCGCGGCGGCGCCCCACGAAAAGGTCCTGGGGACACTGCACGCGATCCCAGTGACCTGTGGCTGCGGCGCGCACGGGGCTGCACACAGGCGCGAAGCGTGGTGTAGACAACCCATCTACCCCACAGAACGCCCAGTCGGTGGCTCCTCCTGTTACCACTTACCCTGTGGGGAAACCGAGACCCCATAGGGTAAATCACTCGCCCGAATTCAGTTTGACTACAGAAAACTCACGTTTTTTGGAGGGTGTGAAATGATGAGATCACTGGAGTAGGCACAAGTGAGGCACTAGATCAAAAAGTCAGGTCCGCGTATCGAGCCCAAGAGGGATCAGTAAGATCTAACCGTCGTAATTCACATGCACAAATAACGGCCACTTAAGAGGTCCTTCTGGGGATACCCAGGACCAGGCTATCTGGGCTAAGCTGATCCGTGGAACAAACATGTATCCCCCAAAGATCACCTTCAGCTGAGCTGGGCAAAAAGCTCTGGGAGCCTTGACCGATGGGCTTTCAGACCTGGAAGTGTGAGCGAGGAGTCAGTGGTTTCCACGAAATCAAGGGAAAACCACTGGCTCTCCACGATGGTCTTACAATGTGAGCCAAGGAGCTACTCAACTGAGTTTACTTATCATGAATGGCTTTGTCAAAATCAAATTATATGTATAAAATAAAACCTACATACAACACATTTTTATAGAATACAGTCAAACATATATTCTCTCTCTCTCTCTCTATATATATATATAGAATACTATACATATATAAAAATGTGGAAGGACTCCTTACCAATTACACCCAAAAACATTTGGCATGAGAGAAGACCCAAAGAAATTCCAATAAAATGAACTGCTACGGGTGCCTGGGTGGCTCAGTGGGTTGAGCCTCTGCCTTCCACTCCAGTCATGATCTCAGGGTCCTGGAATTGAGCCCAGCATCGGGATCTCTGCTGGGTGGGGAGCCTGCTTCCCCCCATCTCACCCTCTGCTGCCTGCCTCTCTGCCTACTTGTGATCTGTCAAATAAATGAATAAAATCTTAAAAAAAAAAAATGAACTGCTACAGGGATTGTGATATGAGAACTTCTAAGTGTGAAAGGATGGAAGTTGAGAATATTTAACTAAAGGTTATCAGATGATTATCCCTAAGCTGAATAGGACAATTTGTTGCCCAAATAAATTCTGGGCTTGTGGAGTCAGGACAGGCACCTGAAAGAACTATTTTATATAATTATGTTTCCTTTAATCCTAGCCATGATTACTAGCTACAAATATAAAACCCTCATCAAGAATAGATCCATATCGGTTACTGGACAGATCTATAATGGGACATTATAATCTACATCTTTATGATTTACTGAAGACTGCCAAAAATCCCATATTCTGTCAGAATGGAGGGTGATCCTTTCCTATAAAGAGCCCATTTTTAGTGGAATGTCTCCTGTGGACACCCTCCCTGTGTCAGCAACAAGCATTAGGGTTCACATTCCACTGACCAAACCTCATCCACAATCGGGCGAGCAGAAAGGGTGGTGATATTATTACCTTGGGTGCTTGGACCTAGGATTCTGAGGTTTCTGAAGTATCTTTTAAAAAAAGAGTGACAGGAGTAGAAAAGTTTCCACAGACATCAATCACCACTGCAACACAGGGTTCCTTTAACTGAAACCGGAAGTGTGGGCTCTGGAATTGGGCTGCTTGGGTTCAAAGCTGGGCCCCATATACTAACTTTGTGACCTCAGGCAGCTTCAATGCTAAAAATAAAATAATGCACCTAGTAAGGCCTGGCCCTTAGTAAACTATATATGTTACATATTTTTAACAAATTTTATTCGCGACTCCCAAAGATGGCCAATAAGGGCTTTGAGCATGAGAACTCTAATAAATAATCTAGGGGAGATAACAAGAGGCTACTTCTGTTCAGAGCATAGTAGTGTGGACCTGCTCTCCACTGCTGGCCTCACCCCGCAACTGACAGTTCTCAATTCAGAGCCTGCTCAATCCCATTCTCTTTCCTCAATAACTTTATCTCACACCGAAAATTCCAGGAACCTCTTCATACACCTGGGGGTTTTTTGGAGGGGGGCCGGCTTTCTTCCCTTTGCAGTCCGTTATACCCCTGCAACCCGTTTGTCAGGTTACTCTTCATTCAAAGCCCCCTTCACTTTTTATCGCTTTAGGGAATTTGATTCTCCCCCCAACCTCTCCAGCTTTTTGTCTTAAACACTCAGTATCTTGTTCACCTTGAATCAATGAGAGAAGAAGCTCGATCTCACTCTCATCCTTAATATTATTTCTAAGTAACTGCTTTGTGAATCGAGTGTTACACCAGTGCCTCAACCTGGCTGCTCGTCACTACCCTTGACTGACATCATTTCTACCTTGGACTTGCTTCCATTTCACGTTTTTCTTTTCTATCCTGCTGCCTGTTATCGCTGATGGTTTCAAAATCCACAAAGGTTAGCTGCTTCAGAGGACCCTGATCTCCTAGATCCTGTCCCTGTTAGACCGTATCTACCTTTCATCCATAAAGATGTACTCTGGGCTTCATCACTTCGTCATTCTGTTCGCCGCATCTCCCCATTCTGTGTCTAACCTGTCCTGTCCTCCACGTGCCCCCGGGTCTTCCACTTCCATGTTGCCAATTCGGCTGCAGTTGTTATACGGTTTCCCCTCATCCTGGATACTTTGACCCCTTTGCTGCCTACGTGGAAACGCCACGCCACCCCCCCTTCTTGGTACTGCAACGATAAAATTTAAGTACAAGTCAGCCAGAACAAACCCCACCTTGATGAGTTATGAACTGCAAGCTAGGCACAGGCGTATCCCGATGTTCTGGGTCTCTGTCTATGGCTCCTTGGTATTAGGCAATTAAAGGCGTTAGAGGCAAATGGACAAATGCGTCTGCACTGAGAACGTGTTCAGCAGAGGATGTAAATAAGAGCGCTGTGAACAGAAAGCCAAGTTTAAAATAAGAATCATGGGGGCGCCTGGGTGGCTCTGTGGGTTAAGCCTCTGCCTTTGGCTCAGGTCATGATCTCAGGGTCCTGGGATCGAGCCCCACGTCAGGGTCTCTGTTCAGTGGGGAGCCTGCTTCCCCCGTCACTGCCTGCCTCTCTGCCTACTTGTGATCTCTGTCAAATAAATAAAATCTTTTAAAAATAAAAAAATAAAAAAGAACCGTGTTCCCATGAGCAGCAGGCTTCGAAAGACTCAACGGGACTCCTAGGAGTGACTTCAGTTTGGCCACCATGTCTGAAGTCCGATCCGGTGACGAGACATGCTCCTACAGGTTCTCGTTACTAAGCACCAAGGAGCTTGTGGGAGTGAGAGATGCCAAGCAGGCCAAGCTGGGAAAGAGAATAGGAACACACACAGCTCGGAGCTCTCAGGCTCACTCGGGGCAACAAACTTGTTTCCTGGATGTAAAAAAGCGTTAGTTCCCAACCCCAGCTGCCTCAGTGTCTCATGTGTGCAGCTCCCAGGCTGGTCTCAGGAAAAACACCTAAATAAAGAGTCCTCAACTTGTGACTGAGTTTTCACATGTTCATGGGCTTTGCTCTGTTGTGAACTCAGAATGTTCTCCCATGGTCATGTAAATTCCAATCCCAAAGCAAATCTGACACATGTCATAAATGCCTGTTACAGCACTAACACCAATTGTTATTTTTATGGGAAAATGTGCTCCCATTTACAGCTCAGAAGCGACATCACTATTTCCCCAGGGACTCTTCTGGTTCCAAACCAGTGATAATACTCTTGTGTTCTGGACAGGGCGACAGATGGAGAGACCAGAGATAGGGGCCGTAGGGAGAGGCGGCAGAGTGCATTACAGGAGCCAGGAGGAGATGGGATGGAGACTCGGGGCTAGGTACAACGGCAGTCAGGAGTAGTTAAAGGAGGGTAATTATCTGTTTCTCCCCTCCCCCTTTCCTCACCACTTCAGACCCACTCACCGGCTAGAGGTGAGGGGTGAGAGGACCCTGGAGTTGTGTGGGGTGAGGTGGGCGGGGTGAAGGGTTAATCTCAGAAACCGCAGAGTCGGCCATGCCAAGGTAGCAAGGGAAGGAAATCAAAGGACAGCTCAGTGAAGGTCAAAAATCCTCTGTAAAGAAGACAAACAGACCAGGAGCCACGTGTGTCTCTCTGTGGCTGCGGGCTACCACCAATAATGGCCCCAGGCAGTCGTCCCAGACAGAACTGCTCACCCAGTAGAACAGGAGCAGAGCCAACCAGCTCATCTGTTCTCACGAGTCCCAAGGGACAGAGTCACTAATCTTTGGCTCTTTGATGTGCTCAAGAAGGTATACAAACCAAGAAATTGTAAACCAGTTCTGCGGAGCAGTTGTCAGGGAACTGAGAACATGAGAACTACATAACTGGGGAAAAGAGAGGTTAGGAGGCAGAGAACCCTAGCGCCCTAACTAACCGCGAAGCCTTGTGCTCAGACGACCCCAGGAGCCTTCGAATGTAGGTCAGTCTCCTATTTTGACGCCCTTAAATTTGAAGAAGTGGAAAGGCCAGCCTGAAGCCCTTACGGCGGGATGGTGGTCAGGTTCCCTGTGCTCTCTATGGTCCTGCTGGCACCTGTCCGCTGTTGGGCTTCCCTTATGCTCTGAACCAGCAGCGGTGCCTGCTTACGGGAAAGTGTTCACATGTCCACACTCCACAGGCAACCATGAAGGCAGCTGGGATTCAATGCAGTGAGGCAGAAGGTCTGTGAGTGGGACTCGGGCGTTTTCCTCAGTGAAGTGGAGGGATCCCTAGAGCAACAGACAGGACTTGAGGTCAGAGACCTACACTTCAGTGGCTGGGCTTTCCCTTGTGACACTGTAGCTACATCACCGTCTCTGTACGCAAGAGTGTCCTCACCTTTCCAACGGCCAATAATTTTAGAGATATTTTAGGAATGAAGTCAAAGAGGCATTCTTGCCCTCCCAGTCTGTCCCCAAGCTCTGTTGCCAACGTACCGCCAACAACTGCCCAACTGAACAGACCCTGTACCTCAGGTCGACTCACGTGCTTCCAAACCACGAGCACTCTTGCCTCTGCCTACATTTCCTTCACCCTAAATCCTTTCCATTTTGCCCTCCAATTCCGCCCACCCAACCCTTAGTGTCAGTAAGATCTTTCCTGACCCCCCGAGGCACCGGCGGTCCGTCCTCCCGGATGGACAGCACTTACTGTGTGCCACGAGCCACTTCCAAGACCAGGACCTGTGTCATTTCTCCTGTCCTGCTGCGGTCTCACCTAACCTCACATGCAGATCTTAGCTATCCCCAACTAAACCATCAACTTCGGAGAAGAGGAATGTGCTGTTCTGCTTCTTGATCTCCACAGCACCTGACAGAATGGGCGGCACACAGGGACTTCTTTATCAATATCTGAGGCTTCCTTATAGCAACAGTGACTGGCGTTCTGCCCTAAAGGATTTCAAAGCTTGCACTCTGGGACACAGCCGCCCTGCAGTTTTTCTCCTCTGTGGGTAGTCTGGTGTTGAGTAAGAGCTGAGGTCTGCCTGAACGACTCCCCACACTCTTTACATGTACAAGGACCACCTCTAGCATGGGTTCTCTGGTGTTTACTAAGATCTGACCTCTGTCTGAAGGCTTTGCCACATTCATCACATTGGTAGGGTTTCTCCCCGGTGTGGATTCTCTGGTGCTGGATGAGGCTCGTGATTCCTCGGAAGGCATTCCCACACTCGTCGCACTTGTAGGGCCTCTCTCCAGTGTGGATTCTCTGATGTTCCGTGAGGACAGATCTCTGCGTGAAAGCCTTCCCACACTCATCACATTTATAAGGTCTCTCCCCAGTGTGAATTCGCTGATGTTCTACAAGACTCGTCCTCTGAATAAAGGCTTTTCCACATACATCACACTTGTAAGGTTTTTCCCCAGTGTGGATCCTCTGGTGCTGAACAAGGCCGCTCTGGCTGAAGGATTTCCCACATTCCTTACACTGATGGCACTTTTCTTTGTGATGGATCTCCTGGTGGGAAACCAGGGATGAGTTATACACAAAGGCTTTTCCACACTCGCTGCACTCATAGGGCTTTGCCCCAGTGTGAACTCCTTGATGCTGAGTAAGTATCGAGCGCCGACTGAAACTCTTATTACACTGAGTACAATGGTATGGTTTGTCTCTTGTGTGGATCTTGAGATGGTGAAAGAGGCCTGCTTTCTGGCTGAAGGCTTTGCCGCACTCATTACAGTGGTAGTGCTTCTCTCCTGTGTGAAGTCTCTGATGTTGGTTAAGAGCTGACCACCGGCCAAAGGCTTTGTCACACTCGTTACACTTATACGGTTTCTCACCAGTGTGGATTATTTTGTGCCGGATAAGCACAGTTCTCCCACGGAATGTTTTTCCACATTCCTCGCACTTGTAAGGCCTGTCTCCAGTATGGACCCTCTGATGTTCTACAAGGCGCGAGTGCTGACTGAAGGCTTTCCCACACTCCTCGCACTCGTGAGGTTTTCCTCCCGGACAGAACCTCTGCTGTTCACCCAGACGGACTCTGCTTTCTTCACCTGTAGGTTGTTCACCTTCCCTGGAGTGTCCAGAAGACTCTTCTGGTTTTGCTTCAGGATTGTCAGCTTCTCTGCACTGAGCAGGCCAGAACACTTCACGTTTAAATGCAGACATGTTCTCATGTGGTTCCATTTCTTCAGAAATTTCTTGCTTTAAATTCCTGCACTCGTTCCCAGTCTCAACACCTGAAACTGCAATGGATCACCGAGTCAACGAGTTTCCAACCTAAGATTCATTGGTGAAAAACACTAAGAACCTAGAGTTTCTGAAGGACTATGAAATGGCATAAGAACACAGGATGGACATAATACGTAAAACTCCAAAAATTGTTACGGAAAAGACCAGTAACCCAATAGAAACTGGGCAAAGGAAAAATTGTCTCCAGAAAAATTAATACAATAGTTCTTAAACGTAAGATGCTCCACCTCAAAATAAGGGAAAAGCAGATTTAAACAATACTGAGGCACAATTTCCACCCATCATCCTGCCATGTTCATGAAATAAGTGTCACACATTGCCAGTGGGAGTGTAAACTGACCCAGGCCTTATAGAGGGCAATTTGACAACATCCGTCAAAATTACAAAAGTACTTAAACTTTGGCTTAGTAATTCCACAAATAGGAATTTATCCTGCAGTTCACCACAGCACCACCTGTTAGAATAAAACACTGGGGACAACTTGGGGGGTGGGTAAGGTAACTGTGTGGTTCATCCATACATTTTATTACTAAGTTGCTGTTAAGAAATAAAAAATGCAAGCTTTTACCATCTTAGTGATAAAGAGAAGAAAAAGTACTTGTTTGAATATGAAAACATATATATTTCTAGGGAAGGACACACAAGAACTTAAAACACTGACAACCTATTTCAGGGCTGGAAGACCAGAAGGCAGAGGGAATGAAGTGGAATGAAAACTTTTCACTAGATAATTTAAAATTTTTGTCTTTGAACTAGATGAATTTTTACCTACTTTAAAAAACTAAATGGAAAAGAATAAATATAGGGGCGCCTGGGTGGCTCAGTCATTAAGCATCTGCCATTGGCTCAAGTCATGATCTCAAGATCATGGGATGGAGCCCCGAATCAGGCTCCCTGCTCCATGGGAAGCTGCTTCTCCCTCTCCCACTCCCCCTGCTTGTGTTCTCTCTCTTGCTGTCTCTCTCTCTGTGTCAAATAAATAAATAAAACCTTTAAAAAAGAAAAAAAAAAAGAATAAATAAAACGAAGCAGAGATAAGGAAGTTAATGGAGTCTTTCATCCATCACCAACTTTTAATATCCTGCCACGTCTGCTTTATTGTTCCTCTCTTTGTAAGCGTACACATATGTATACTTTTTCCTGAACCATCTGAAAAATGCGGTCATCGTGGGGCAGAGGCTTGTTTATGAAGGAGGAAGGATACAGCCGAAGTGAAGACAGTAGTACCGTCTGACAGGATAAAGGCTAGAAAGAGCAAGACCAGTACAATGGAAAACAACTACCAGAAAGACTAAATTAAGTGATCTCAAATAAAACAGTGCAAGAATTCGAAAAATATTTAAATATAAAGAGAAGAGAACACCTGAAGAGCGAGAAACTCTTCAGTTGTGGCTGAGAGTGTGGCTGAGAGTGTGCATGAGAGACTTCGTGACTCTGATGATCAGGAACAGTGCGGAGTACTAGGGCGTCCTGCTGCTCCGTGCTGGCCCGTCCTCCCTCTCCCCCCAGACGGGTCTGTCTGCCTTACCCGGCTCCTCCAGCGGGGCTTCAGGTTCTGGAGACTCACACTTGAGCTGTGCCATCAGGGGTGGGAGGGACACACCGGGCTCCTGTTCTGTTCCCAGAGGGGCCATCTCCTGCAAGGGCTGGCCTTGTTCCTCGGTGTGGACTGAGACCTGCGGCAAGATAAACAGCTCACACAGTCTGTGAACAGCAAATAAGAGTACACGATCCGCGGCGGTGACGTCCAGCTCTCTGACACCTCAACTTTCTCCCAGACACCAGCCTGCTGTAACCCTCCCCACGGCGCCTCCTCTGGGAAACCTTCCCTGCTCCTGTTCTTCACAGCTAAACACTGCTGGTTGTGTCACCTTCACTGTTTATGCCTGGAGAAAGGCAGAAGGAAATGAAGGAGTGACAGAGGGTGGAGGACGGAGGAGAAATCTCTTCCCCATAGGCTCCGGAAGCTGTTCCCTACAGCCAGCCTTCCCCAGGCCCCACTCCACCTCCTTCCAAGACAGGACCTTATTTTCTCCTTGCCCAAGGTCATGGTCACATGAGAGGCCACCCACCATTCATTTCATCACCCCCGCGCCCCCCCTTCTTCCCTTCCACTTAAAGGAAGAAGCCTTTTCTCTTCAAGGTGCGTAGGTCTCCACTCTTGCCTTCAACCCCATCCCTTACTGCACCCCTGACCCCTGCTCCAGCAACGAACTCATTTATTTAGCAGTTTAAGCCATTCTGTAATTTCTGTGCCTGCAGGGAAGCATTCCCCTTGTATTCGAAAATACCACGTTTCCCCAGCAGGGTGTGAAATGCTGGGATCTGAGACCACTCTTGTTCCTAAATCTGTGTCTTAGTTCAGGAACTCTGGGAGCAGGGGCTGGTTACCTCGACTACATGGCACCGTGTACACAAAGCACATTGCAGGGGGCATTGCCACAGCAGGCCCTCAAACTGCTCCCCAATCCCCTACAGTGGCTACACTCTGTAAATAAGAAATCACCGCACACTGCCTCTATTCTGACAGTTTCATTGTGCAATCTCTGCCCCCAGAATAAGAGCCAGAATCAGAAGGATGCTGAGATGGACAGAAAAAGATGTTTCAACTTCAAATGTGGAGGGAGAAAAAAGCCAGTACAGTGTCTGTGTCTTCCATCTGTGGATCTCTGGCAAGGCTCAGAAATCGAGTTTAAACTCTGTTAGCTGCCCCCAGCATGCTTCAAGGGAAGGGGTTGGCTTGCAAAACAAATGCAACATGTTTCATTTTGTTCTGTTTTTTAATCAGGGGAAAGCACAAACTCAACACATTTAAAACCACATTACTTCTGCCTGCACTCGAGAATCCCTTCTTTCTTTTGGTTCTCTTCCTGTCTCCTTGGCCACTCCTCCATTTCCACTGCCCTGATGACCTCCTTTCATCTCAAAGCCTTAAATATCATCCATAACCTGACAAGTTCCAGTTTTGCATCTCTAGCACGGATCCCTCCATCGAATCCCAGCTTGTTATATTCAGCTGCTTGCCCAACTTTTCCAGGTGGATTCTAATAGGAATCTCAAAATTGACACATCCAAAAACCCAGTAACCCTTGATCCCTGTCCTGACCCAAAACCTTCCTCTCTCCCAGCCTTTACCATCTTTGTGAATGATGAATCCATGAGTCATAACGTTCAGAACAAAAACCTTAGCTGAACCCTGAACCTTCTCTCATATCCCACATCCTACAGAAAAATAAATCCTGTCAAGTGTCACCTCCAGAACAGGCAGGATCCAACCGCATCTCACCACTTCCACAGCTACTGCCCTAGTCCAAGCCACCAGCACCTGTTTCCTGGATCGGTGCTGAGCCTGTCTCCCGGCTTCTGCATTTGACCTCTCGACCTCCCTACCCCGCGCCCCCACCCAGGCCCCGTGTACAACTCTTCCAACAGAGTGGCTGGAGTGATTATTTGTACAATTTAGGTCAGGTTAAACCTCTCTTCTGTTCAACTCTCCGGTGACTCAGCACCCCGTTTATTGTCTGCCTCCTTATTAGACTAGACTCCAGCTGGGAGACAACAGCAGCTTCTGCGCTTTGTTCATGGCTAGGTTTCCAGTGCCCTGAATGGTGCCTAGTACCAAAACCCACATTAGTAAATGTCTCCTGAACAAATGAGCTTTCCCCAATCCACCTTCCCCTACCCCCTTTGAACTGTTAGGAGCACCCGGATCCCGCCAGTCTCTCAAGCCGGAAGTCCCCAGTGCTCAGCCTGGAAGAGATCGCTCCCTGCAGAGCTTTCCCTTCATCCTTCCTTTTTCATCCACTCATCTGTCGTCATTTCCAACGAACACTTACCTAAGACATGCTTCCTCCTTTGAAGTCTCACTGTCACAACTCTCTCTCAAACTCATGTCTTTCTGCCACAGGTTCCTCCCCTCCAGTGTTTCATGCCCCCTGTGCTGGGCTACCCTTCTTGTTTTTCCATTTTACAGCCTTCCGACAGAGACTTCCCAGCCTTGCCTCTACTGACCAGCTGGTCAGATAATTCTTTGTTGTAGGATGCTGTCCTACCCGGGTAATGTCCCTGGCCCATCAGCCACTAGATGTCGGTAGCACCTCGCCCCATCTGACAACCAAAAATGTCCCAAGACATCGCCCGAGGCCGCTAGGGCACAAAACAGCCACTGGTTGAGAACCAGTATCAGGCCTGAAACAGAACAGAACAGAACAAGATCCTACATACTTGTTACATCCTCGGGTTAGTGAAGCTCATTGAGACTCAAAGAGCAAATGTTGGAAGCTTGTGTCCTACAGAATAAAATCTAAATTCCAGGGGTGGTATTCAAGGTCCTGGACTCTGTTTTCAATCCCTATTCACAACTCACCTGTCCAACCCACCCTGAGCTTTCTACTACTCCCAGTAACTCCCACCCCAGCCCGGCCCCTCCCTCCTAACCGTCCACTCCGCTCATACCTCCCACCCCTCCAAGGTGGTCACTGTGATTTCTCCTTCGTTTAATCCTTTAATGGAGAAAGGGCAGTGGACACACTGTTGTGCAAGAGAGCGATGTCCCTTTGAAGAGACTGCTGCCCACTCCCTTACCATGACCTAACATTTGCTCTTAGAATCTTCTAATGTTTTTGAGCAGCATTTCCTCAAACAGGACTCTGTAGGCCTAGTACAGAAGCACATGATCCCTCCGCAGAGAAGCTGTAAATAAGTTAGGACTACATTAATCAAGTTTCCATGAGGCTAGATAGAGCCTGATACACCCATGTGTCAAGAACACACTGGCCTAGAAATCCATAATTCATTTTCTCTCCATCACAAAACAGATCTCTTTTTCTCACCTGTTCTCCTGGCTCATCCAGCTCCCTCTCCAGGTCCTCCAGGGCGGCCACCGCCTGCTCCCCGCTCTCCGGCTGCTGCTCCCGCACCCAGGCCTGCAGCTCCTCGGGCAGGATGGTCAGGAACTGCTCCAGCACCAGCAGCTCCACGATCTGCTCCTTGCTGTGCGTCTCCGGCCGCAGCCACTGGCGGCAGAGCTCCCGCAGCCGGCTCAGCGCCTCTCGGGGTCCAGAGGTCTCCTGATAGCAGAACTGCCGGAAGTACTGTCGGAAGACCTCCCTACTGTGGGTGTTGTTCTTTTGCAGGATCTGATGCTGTCTGGGGGTGTCCTTCTCCTCCTCCTCAATCTTTACCTCCAAAAGGTCATCCTGGTCCTCGTGGGCCTGGAGAGCCCAAGTAGATGCCATGATAGCTGTGCAAAAGCTTTATCAGTGCTGCAAGCAAGATTCCCCGTTAAGATCTCCCTGGGTGGACCTGAGGGAGAAGCCGCCACTTCTAACACAAGCTACACCACAGGCAAAAATTGCAAATTCTAAGAATTTACTTCCGTGCTTTGCAAGCCACCTCCAGGAACTACTCCGGGAAATACTCCGATTACAAGAGTTAAGAACAGACTAATCTAAAGAGACTGAGTAAAAGGTACCAAGAGGCCTGAGGATTTTACAAACCAACAGCACCGCCCGGCAGGAAACCCCCGCATGGAGTCCTAGAACGAAGGGCAACCAACAGGAATACACCAACACTTGGAGCAAACGGATCGTCTCAAGGCGTCGGGACACCCTCGCTCGGTCGCCTCTCCTGCAGCAGCCGCACGTCCGGCGGAAACGCTGCCGTCGGCGGCGCAGCCGCCGCAGGACCCCAGCCCCTCGCGCGCTGTCTCCGCTCCTTCCCCCGCGGCAGGCCCGCCGCGTCCCACGGCTCTCCGAAGGCGGCACAGGGCCGCACGCTCGCTCCCCCGCTGCCCGCGGAGGCCTGCATAAGGGTCCCTCCGGAGGTACGAAAGGCCGCGGCCTGCAGACCGCCCACAGCCTGACCCGCCGACAGCGCCCCACAAAGGCCGGAAGCGAGCGGGCTCGGCGCCCGCGCACTTCCGCCGCAGCCGCAGGGAGGGCCGAACGCTGGCCGGGCAGTTCCCGCTCGGCTCCGCTAGGTCGCGAGAGTTAGGCGGGTACGCGGGCGCGCACGGCTGCGGTAGCTGCAGCCACAGCCGCAGGGAGGAGTTGGACACTGCGGTGGAATAGACGCGCGAGAGGGCAGGTGCGGTAGGTCCCTATCCCCAGCTCCTGCCTCCCCCTCCCCCCCGCTGTTCCCGCCCCACTGTGGGCGAGGCCTGGCAACACCTGCAGTAGGTGCCACTTTGTCCTGAACGTCTCTTTATAAGTAATTAGCGTCAACTTGCCGGTGTTTTGTTGGGGGTTTTGCATCTCTGCTCGGGGGACACACTGGCCGGTAGTTTTCCTTTCTGAAATGTCTTCGGGTAATGTTGGCCCTACGACGCGCGGCTTCCTGCGGAAGGCTGACGTTGAAGGAGTCAGCCAGCACCAGAATAACGGGCCAAGGGGAAGCAGTCCGCCTCGGTCACAGGTGCAAGGCAGCCACAGAAAAGAGCATCCAAGCACAGAGCACCCAAGACACAGGGCAGGCCCAGGAACGGCATTTGCCTCATCGTCTGCTCGGGGGAAACTCGGGGATGTAGGGATACGGAACAGACAGCAAAGGTAAACATGGATCTCTGGAAAACTCCTTTCTCATACTTTTTGTCCAAGCTCATTGATAACACTTGGCCATTTTATACACCAGGTAACTCCAACATTTTAAAAAAAGAATGTGACTTTTTTTTTTCTTGTGATATTTTGATAAACCTTCTAAGTACTTCTAAAATCAAGCGAAAAAAAAAAAAAAAGACTTTGAGAGCCAGGACTCAAGAAAGACATGCTGAAACTGTAATGTCAGAAGATCACTGTTACTTTGTGTATAAAAAATAAACCTATATATACACTTGATTAGCTTATAATAATGTTGGGTGTATTTAGGGAAGTTGAAAAGGAGGCAAGAAAGGAGAAAAAAAAAATTGAACGATTATTTAGGAAAAGAAAATCCAAAAAGAACTTTATGTGTACCCAGGCTTTAAATCTGGGTGGACAAGGGTGTTTTGGAAAACTAAAGATGGCTACAAATTCTTTAGCACTTTTCCCATTACGAGGTGGGGTTCCATGTCGTTTCCCCTTGAGTCTGAGTGGATTTGATGACTCCTCTGATAAAATACAGCAAAAATGATGCTGTTTGAGTTTTCCAGCCTGAGCCTTTAGAGAGCAGCAGCTTTCACTTTTTGTTTTTTGGAACAACTGCTCTGGGAGCCCTGAGCCATCACAGAAACAGGCTGACTGCCCTGCTGGAAAGATCACATAAGGAAGCCCTAAGCCCACCCCTCTAGCTATCTTTGCCCCAAGGCACTGGGCATGGCAGGGCAGCTGTCTTGGGATTTTCTAGGCAAATCCAGAAGATGCCACATGAAATGGAAGACCCTTTAGGCTGAGCCCTCCCCAGATTCCTGGCAGAAAACATCATGGGATGGTTATTCTAAGCCTTCATTTTTGGGTAACTTTTTATGCATCAATATATGTTACTGTAACAATTTGGTTACGCTAGTCCCTGAAGATACTAAATTTCCTTAGATTAGATGGTATAGTCTACAAGGAATTTTAAATTTGTAATTGATTTCTTGACTTCTAACCAGAAAGTGGTGTTGAGGACACGCTACATTTTTTTTAAAAGTTGAGTTTATAAGGGAACTAAGAGAGGCAGAGATATCCCAGTGACAGAAGAAAATTCTGAAAATGTCCCTTCAAGCCAAGTGGGGGCCGACTTTGACCTCCCCAAAAGGACAAGAAACTGGTGGGTTAGCAGTGAAATTCTGCGGTGGCCACCTTGCCAGGGCATGACTGTCTCAGCCAGGACTGCCTCTCATCCTCCCACCAAAGGTGGAGAGGAGACAAAGGCTGTTTATAGACCCAATGCAGAGGCAATGAGAGGTGTAAGGAAAGTCGGGGTGGGGGGGTTGGCTCTGGGCAACTCAAATACTTCGACAAATAGTTCTACAAAATGTTACTTAAAAGATAAAATGCCTAATGCTCCTGAGTTCCTCAGGTTCACAACCAGGTGTTTTTTTTGTTTTGTTTTTTTAAACCAATTTGTATCTAACTGATTAACTACTGAATACACTGGATCCTTGAACAACAAAGGGCTTGAATTTTGCAAGTTACTTATACATGGACATTTTCCCATACACTACAGTACCATAAATGTATTTTCTCTTCTAAGATTTTATTTACCTGAGAGACAAGAGACGGAGCGAGTGGCAGGGAGCAGAGAGGGACAAGCAGACTCCACACTGAGCACGGCCCTTCCCAGGGCTAGATCCTAGGACCCTGAGGTTATGACCTGGGCTGAAATCAAAAGTCGGACACTTAACTGACTGAGCCACCCAGGGGCCCTCTGTAAATGTATTTTATGATTTTCTTTACATTTTCTTGGGGCCCCTTGTATGTGACTTTTGATCTCAGAGTAGTTGAGTTTGAGCCCAACATTGGGGGTAGAGATTACTTTTTAAAATATCCTAAAAATATATTTTCTTTGTATACAGTATATGATGCATGTAACATATGGAATATGTGTTAATCAACTGTTTGTTATCAGTAAGTCTCTGCTCAACAGTAGGCTGTCAGTGGTTAAGTCAAGTTATACTCAGATTTTTGACTGTGAAGGGGATCAGTGGCCCAACACCCATGTTGTTCAAGGGTCAACGGTACGATACTCAAAAGTATGAAAAGATCATTATGTTTACAGTGGTTGCAATGCCTGGGGCACCTGGGTGGCTCAGTTAGGTTAAAAGGTAGAACAAAAGATCAAGGGAAAGGTAGACAAAAATTTTAGTGATGAGGTTCATTTGGACAAACACAAGAAGACATTTCCTGTCTTTTCCCCCAGTGGAATCTCCTCACCTTTCTCCTGAACAAAGGGCAGCTCCCAAGGTTCAGAATTGAATTGACCCATTCTGGCTGGAGCTGGACCCCTGTTGAGTCCTGGACCCCTGGAGCAGCAGAGGTGCTGCTGCCAGATCAGCTATCTGCTCCTGGGGCCCTTCCTGTCCCTATAGCAGGACTAGGACCCACGGACAATGAAATAAATTTGACCAGGGTGATATATGCTGAAAGGTCTAGAACTTCGATCCCAGTATTAATGGGGAACATAGAACAGCTGGACAGAAAGCAGAGTTTCCCTTGACCTGCAAGGGCAGGAAATAAAAAGGACAGGGAAGGGGATACAACTCTGGCCAGTATATCTTGGCCATTTCCCTCACTACACGAGAGGAGATCTCAACTCTCTTATCTCTCTCTAGAGAGAGCACCTGCCTTCTGAGGATAGATCATTTCTTCCTCATCTCACCTTTCCTCGGGGATATTCAGCTTCCTGGACAAGCCCTCCAAGTCCAGAAACAGCCTCCTCCCTGTACTCTGGGCTGCTCCCGCACCCGGGCCTGCAGCTCCTCGGGCAGGATGGTCAGGAACTGCTCGGGTACCAGCAGCTCCACGATCTGCTCCTTGTTGGGTCTCGGGCCGCAGCCACTGACGACAGAGAGCCTAGAGTTGGACTTCTGAGGCCCAAGGGAATCCTCCCAGCAGAACTGCCTTAAGTTTTTTCTGAAGAACTCCTGTCAGAAGCACTATTTTTGTGCAGCCTAGATTCTGTAACTAGTTGACATTCCTTCTGTTCTGCAGCCCAAAAGGGCTGGACTGAATCCATTCCTGGGCACAACAGCTCAGAAGACTGGCTCGTTACAACAGCAGGGAGAGTTTAAGGCTCATGATAACACGTAACACATCACTATTAACAGAGATCAATTCCAAACTAAGAACATATTTAGTCAGAGTGAATCGCTGTGGCCAGGCCAATGATTTGAAGGTAAGGATGCTCTGTAAAAGACAAACACAAAATGTCATTAGGATAATATAAAATTAAGGAAAACACAATTCAGTTACTTTAGGATTAAAGAACAATACTATTAGCTTGTAGATCTAGAAACTTCAGTGACATATTCAGATAATGTGAAATATTCAGATAATGAAGAAAAACAATGTAAACAGCTTTTGCCTGCTTAAATTGCATGTCACAGATCAAGTCAGTTGTATTTACAAATCAACTTCTCTGTGCCAAGAATTGTGCTAGATACTTTCAACGGTGTTTTTAATTTCAGAAAAGAACAGTCTGTGGGTCAGTGTGTCCCATTTTTGAGTCAGGGATCCCAAGTCATTAACCAAGGTCTGCTTTGTATGCAAACCCAGTGAGCACTTTTCAGTCCTTTGCTTACCAGATGTCCCTGCAGCATCTAACACTGCTAGCCACTCCCAGTCTTATAAGAACTACAATCTTCTGGCTGTTTTCCATGAGTTGGTTTTTGTAAAGTGCTTAGACCAATGCCTGATGCTCAGGTAGTATTATATGAGGGCTTGTCAAACAGCTCATTCTTAAGTCTACTTTATGGCTCTTCTTCAGTTTGTCAAGAAATGTCTAGATACCCTAAGCTGAGACCCAGCCTTCTCATTCCACATTCATTCTGTGCAACCTTGTCCATTCAGTAGCATCTGAGAACTGAGATATTGTCACCCAAGAACTCCTCAATCTGATTCTCTTATCCAAATTTTAACTTGGAGCTGCTGCAGACCATTACATAGTCCAATGGTGTATTGGACCCTTCCACCTGCATGTCTTAAAAGCATCTCAACACCACCAAAAATTAACTCATTTTCCCCTCACAATCAATGCCTCCTCCAAAACTTCCTGGTTGTTTTTTTTTTTTTTTTAACCCATTTCTTTTAAAATAGCACATTTATGGGGCACCTGGCTCAGTCAGTTAAGCATCCAAATTCTGATCTCAGCTCAGGTATTGATTTCAGGGTTGTGAGTTCAAGCCCTGCACTGGGTTCATGGAGCCTACTTAAAAAAACAAAAAACAAAACAAACAAACAAAAAAACCCCGCACATTCATTCATCTAATCATCTAATCCAAAAACCTATCCCTGACTATATTTTATTTTTTGAAAAGATTTTCTTAAAAGATTTTATTTATTTGAGAGATCACAAGTAGGCAGAGAGGCAGGCAGAGAGAGAGGAGGAAGAAGGCTCCCTGTTGAGCAGAGAGCCCAATGCGGGGCTCAATCCCAGGACCCTGAGATCATGACCTGAGTGGAAGGCAGAGGCTTAACCCACTGAGCCACCCAGGCGCCCCTGAAAAAATTTTCTTTATTTGAGAGAGAGTAGGGGAGGAGCAGAGGGAGAGTGACAAGTGGACTGCACATTGAGCGCAGAGCTCTTCTCGAAGCTGGACCCCACAACCCTGAGATCATGACTTCAGCCGAAATCAAGCATCAGATGCTCCAAGGCTCAATCCACTGAGCCAACCAGGGGACCTGCCCTATGTATTTTTTTTGAAGTCTGTAGTACTTACTATATGCCATGCCCTGTACTCAGCACTTTTTTTTTTAAAGATGTTATTTATTTATTTGATAGAGAGATCACAAGCAGGCAGAGAGGCAGGCAGAGAGAGAGGAGGAAGCAGGCTCCCTGCTGAGCAGAGAGCCCGATGCGGGGCTCGATCCCAGGACTCCGAGATCATGACCTGAGCCGAAGGCAGCGGCTTAACCCACCGAGCCACCCAGGCGCCCCTGTACTCAGCACTTTTTAGTCTTTAGTCATCAAGCCTAGTTCAATCTGCCTTTCCCACAAAATTCCATTCCACGCCTCTTCATTTCCACAGCCACCACGTTACTTTCACCAACTTATAATACTGGTTCTTTCCGTGACAACCGCACCTCTCTTCTGTCTTGCATCCACTCTTGCCCCCTTCCCATGCATTTACCATTTTTTCAGAAGTCTAGGATTGCATTACCTCCCTGCTTAAAGACGGATACCGCCGCTCTGTGGAGTAGCCCTTCCCGTCTCCTGCGCGATGCCGCAGTTCACTAGGTGCCAGCCTGTCCAACTCAGCTACGGACGTGGGCAAGCAGAGCTGGGAGAGCCGAAGCCCGCGCCGGCCGGTGTCTTCTGCAAGGCAGTGTGCACGCAGTCATTTTCTGAACGAGCTGTTACGTTAAAAATGGAGACGCACAGCGCCTTTAATGTCCAAGTTCCTTGGAACATCCCCGGAATTACGGACTTGCCCACGTCCCCTCCGTCGCGGTGTTCTGCGGTCCCAGGGTCCCTTCCCTCCTCGCTCTGCCTCATACTCGCTCAGCCTCCTACCGCCTCTAACTCGCCACCCACCTCCAAAGGCCCGCGCAAGGGTGAAGCCGACTTCCCGAGGCGCTTACGCGGTGCTGCAGGGGTCTGCACGGCGAAGGGCGCCCCTTCTGGCCGACTTCCTCCCACGCTAAGCCCTAGGCACCGGCGCACACGTGCCCCAGTGTGTGCTTGACCCAGGCGCTGACTTCGGTTTTCCTCGCCACGGAAACGCACACGGCGCTTGCGCGGACCACGTTACCGCATTTCAGAAGGACACGCCTCCAGGCCGCGACCATAGAAGGCCCGCGCAGGGAACAGACCACCACCTGCCGGCCTCAAGGCCGCGTCCATGCGGCGGGCCTCCCCGCGGCTACACCGCGCCCGCTGACCCCCGCTCGGCGCAGCGCTTGTGCCCGCGAGCGCCGACACGGGGGGGGGGGCGGATTCCGGGGACCCACGCAAGGAAGCGGCGCCGAGCCCGGCGGGGAAGCCTCGCTTCGGAGCAAGCACGAGGCAGCCGCTAACGCCCGCGACCGCAGCCGAAAGTGCGTCACGACGTCCGGGAGCGCCTCCACCAGCAGCCCGCCGCCTCTCTAGGAAGCCTGGAAGACCCATCATCTCGGTGGTGGGTCGGCTCCAACCTCCCGCAGGCCGCCGCGAGCGCCGCAGCCTGTGAGCGGCTTAAGCAGGCGGGTGCTCCTGGTGCAGGCGGATCCTCCTGGTGCCCCCGGGCACTCTATCTGGGCCCCCAGCTCTCTATCGCACCGAGGACGCCTGTCCGCTGTCACACAATGCCGCGCAACCCTCCGCTTCCCAGGACCCTGGTCGTCCCGGGTCCCAGCCTGCAGGGTCCCTGCAGATCCCCCTCGTGCAGATCCTGCTGTGCGCTGGGCCCCCCCGGTCAGAGGCAATAACCAGCACCACCCTGAGCAAAGCGGCACGTGGGCTTGCTCTCCACTGTTTCAAGTCCCGTCCTTCTGTGGAAGGAAACCACTCGCACTCCTGCGCTGGGTCAGCAGAAAGCTCCGGGAATGCGGGGACACAGCCCCGGTTCCACAGCCAGTGAAGTAGCTCGATCAGTAAAAGTTACCTGGCACCGGATCTGGTCCTCATCCATCCTACTTGCTTAAGATGGCTCACACTCTGCCTTAGTCTCCTAAGTTTCTCCTCTAGTGCCCTATACTCCCACTTTTCCTCCACAGTTTTACAAGTGAGCATCCCACACTAGTTCATCAGTCCCGGTACACGGAGCCGCTCCTTAAGCTTCTGATAGGTCATTCATCTTGTCTGGTAAACCATGATCTCAACAGGTTCACATTCGGTAACTATCTTAACTGTTTCATGGTTTGGGGGATCCTTTTAGGAGGAGTGTGGTTTTTGTAGACAACCCACCCTTGCTGAGCTAATCCAATAGACAAGTTAACAGGAATTATTTCAAACCAGGCAGGTGGTGGCTACACTAAATCTCCCACAGCTTCCTTCATAGATGTCCTACCTTAGTTTTCATGAGAACATTGTATTCTTTCTTACTCTATCTGGTCTTCTCTCTCCTCAGCTGGAAAAGTCCTAAGTGGAAGACCACCCATCCTGTGATGCCTCTAGTCTGGGTGTAATTATTAATGCCAGTCTCTTTTATGCTCAAGTGTCCCAGATTGGGCAATAAATTCTATATAGTTACCTTTTATCTGAGAACCACTGACAAGCTGGCTAAAATGCAGATTCCCAGGTTCTGCCCTCAGAAACATCCAGCCAGTCTGGGTAGTGCCCAGGAAGCCGTGGCGTTCAAACAGCACAGGTGATTCTGACACAGGTATATATTCAGAAACAGTGGCTTCATCATAGAGCGGAAAAGTTCGCATGGAAAACTGGGTGCAGGTCCACAGAGACCTAAAAACAAAAATCAGTAATGTATATACTGTGCTCTTCTCCTTCTTCTTTTTATGTAAAGCAATGAAATGGGTTTGGAATGAAGAGCAGTGGGACTGTTTCCACTGCTAGGACACATGGACCAAATGAGAGACAGATCTCTAATAACAGCTATTATAAAGATAAAGCACATTTCTTGGTAACTGTCTCTGCATCTTTTTATTTTTCCTTGTCTTTGGTCACCATTTCTTGGTCTAATACAGTCTTAACATGTAATTTTGTCTGTCTGAGTCCTTTTTATGTTCTCACACTTTGTTCGTCCCTTTTCTCTTTCCCTCCCATTTTGTTGCTGCTGTTTTCAGATGCCTAAAATGTGTCCCGGCCCCCAAGTCTAAGTGTCTATGAAACTACATATAATTCACAATGATCTTTGTTCATTGTTTTTAAAAATTTTAATGCAATGGAAAAATAGATCACTACAAGTGTTTAAGCACTTTGGGCTTCGCTTTTCTCATGTACATATGAAATGGGTAAACTCAAAATTTCTTCCTAAAGCTAACACTCTTACTCTGTGTTAAAAAGCCCCTATAGCACAACAAAATACTTTCAATGATCCCTTACCAAAGACCAAACCCACAGGAAAAGTGTCCAAGGACCTCTCAATCTGGCCCCCACTCCTGCACTTCCTTGTAGGAGTTCCACAACCTGTCAAACTGGAAAACTCATGGCTCTTGAGCATATCTTAGTTGGGACATCCTCATCCTGATCCCTCTGCTAAAACCCTTTCCTCTATCCTCCATCTCCTTCTACAAGTAATCTACTTCTCTCTCAACTTCTAACCCAACATTTAACCAATAACACACATGTATACTGGTATAGATTTTATATTGTAAAATTGCTCCTGAGAAAGTACTTAGTATTTTATATTTTGACTTCAGAATTACTTTTTTTTAAAGATCTTATTTATTTGAGAAAGTGAGCAAGCATGAGTAGGGGTAGGGGTAGTCGGAGAGGGAGAGCAAGAAGCCCAACACGGGGCTCACCCCAGGATCCTAGACTCATGGCCTGAGCTGAAGGCAGATGTTTAACTGACTGAGCCACCCAGGCACCCGGACTTTAGATATACCTTTATTTTAAAATATCCCCAGAGAGTGTTTCCCCTCTCTGACTCTCCCCACTGTCATGCTCTCTCTCTCTCTCTCTCTCTCTCACATTCTCTTTCAAATAAATAAATATTTTTTAAATGTCTAAAATAAATAAATAAATAAAATATCCTCAGAGATAATTTTTGTCTTATAGGAAAAATATAAAACAATCTTCCACTATAAATTATATTTTTATGAATCATATCTCAATTATAATTATTGATACCATATTATCAATTATATTAATTATATTATTTTATATATTAAATTATATTTATATTTATGATAATATAATAAAATTATATTTCTTAAAGAAAAGGTATTGTCAGATATAGAAAATAGGAGTCATTTCCAAATACAAAATGTGGACAGAGACTTGGTTCTCCTTGAGTCCTGACCTTCAAATAAAAATTACAGTGAAAGACAGTCTTCAGGGCTCTTACATACAGATCTAGACAGGTTTTGGTTCCAAAATTCTCAGCCATTTCTTGACAGATCTCCTAACTGTGCTCAGAGGGGTGTTGGACTATCCCTCAAGAACCAATAAAGCTTTTTAATTGGATTTGAATCAGTATTTCTTACACCTTGCTGGGCCATAAAAGAACTACTCTTTCAAACCAGACTTTCAAAGGCACAGAAAGGGATGATTACTGGTTTGCAGAGCACCTGAAAGGAGCTCAATGCCAGAGACTTCATGGGTTGAATAAGAGGAGGCAGGGTAGAAACAGCAAAGAGAGAAGTGAGTGTAATGTAGGAATGTGAAAGGGAAACAACTGAGGAAGAAACAGCCCACAGGCCACAGGCCAGCGCAACAGCACTGCTCAACCCATGACAGCTGCTCGTCGCACATGAGAGAATTAGCTGAACGAAGCAGAGCCGTTAGTATCACAGAACAAGTAGTCAGTCCGGTGAACTGGAGGTCGTTTAATCACGTGAACCATCACTGCACTCTAAGTGGCATATGTCTCTACAGCATATATAACATCTTTTGTTCCTTGGCATTTCATCAGTTGCTGAGAAAATTTAGAATTTTTGAGAAGCTGTGAACAAAACAAAACAAAAAGACAAGCACAAAACAAACATCCTATCTTCAACTGCAGGTGTGAAACCAGTCCATTAGAAATACATCCTTTAAAATCCTGATCTGTTCGTATTTTAAATCTTCCAAGTGCCGACATACAGAATTATCCAAGCATGCTGCTTCGGCACATGCAGAGGCGTCTGAGACACTTATGGGCTCAGGTTATAAGAGCATATGTATTACATTACTATGTGGAATACATATTTACTGGAGAAGTTGATTTTATTTCAGACTCGAGTCTACTATATTTTCCTTAACTTCACTTGAAAATCCGCATGTATTTCTTTTGGAAACAGTTTAACCTCAAGACAATACACTCTTGAGAAAATTTAAGAGTTTTGATAAGACCTACAATTTGCCACAAATGGTAACGGAAACGGTTTGAAATGTTATGACTAAGGATGTATAATAGAACCAAATACACAAGACTGAAAACCACCCCCAGCACTTCTGCATTACTCCGGGAAAGAATGAGGTGCAAGTCTAGTTGCCCAAACCCTGTTTCCTAGCTCATGCGGAAGTTATTATTTTAAATAGAATTTGGCTTGAACCACACTTGGAAGAAGAATGAAACAATTTATGACCTTTTCAAGTACTGACTGCGCACCTACAGGAGAGTGTTAAAGACTGTGGAGCACCACCAAATTAAATACCGTCCACCTGTAAACAGAACGAGGAAGCTCTGTTACTCTAAAGACCGCACTGTTTCAGGAGCACAGCCAGGTGCAGAAGAGTGTAAGCAGTAGGCCATCTTTCTGTGTAACACAGGAAATGAGGCGACATGTATTCACGTTTTCTTGTATTTACATAAAGAAACACCGAAGATACATGAAATAGTAGAAAAATGGCTACCTCTAAGGGGAAAAAAAGATAGACTCCCTTTTTAAGGTTGTTCTGATACTTGAATCAGATGAAGAATGAGTTCTCTTTCTTGAAAAGCCTCTCTAAGTAAATTAAAATTTAAAGGTTAAAAATAACCGGGTTGCCTGGCTGGCTCCGTTGGTGGAGCGTGCAACTCTTGATCTTGCGGTTGTGAGTTCGAGCCCCACGCTGGGTGGAGAGATTGCTTAAAAATAAAATGAGATGCCCCAAATGAGGGATAAGTGGTGAGTCTTTCCTGCAACTCCACTGTAAATTGAACAGAGGAGCTGTGCATTTATTTATTTTTATTTTTATTTTTTTACATATATTCTTTTTTTTTTAAAGATTTTATTTATTTATTTGACAGAGATCACAAGTAGGCAGAGCAGCAGGCAGATAAGGAGGGGGAAGCAGGCTCCCTGCTGAGCAGAGAGCCCGATGTGGGGCTTGATCCCAGGACCCTGGGATCATGACCTGAGCCGAAGGCAGAGGCTTTAACCCACTGAGCCACCAAGGCGCCCTGAGCTGTGCATTTATTGCACATAGATAGGAGGCCCTGTTGAGCTAAAAAGCAAAACCTCAGGGCCTTCTAAATCTTCTAAGTTCCATATGCTAGTAATTTCTATTTGGAGATAAACTGCTTTCAGTGGCTTACCAGAAAGAGAACTCGGAATTAGAAGACAGGGATCTAGCTCCAGCTCCATTAACTAGCTGTCTGTGGGATCTTACAGCTACTTTCCAAAGCCTCCGTTTCTGCATCAATTACGGAAGGAGACAGAGAAGTGATCCTTAAGGTCCCTTACAGGGTTTCTACTATTGTGTACTCTGATCCAGATTGTCAACACCAGACATTTTCCATTTCTGTGTGTGCTGGGCTTAGTATAAAGCAAACACTCAATTACTGTTGAGGGAAAGAAACTTTTTTTTACGCATGACCTTGGCGGTAATCAACAGGTAATGCCAAGAAGCAAGGCACTTACAAAAGCAACATGAAGACTGATCATACTTTTCTACTTTTGTGTTTGAAAATTTCCATAACTAAGGGTTAAAGAAAGAAAAAACTGAAAATGCTTTTAAGTCACAGGTGAAGTGCAAAGAGGCCCATATTTTCATAACAAAGATTAGAAGTGAGATATCAGATTTTTAGCTACATTTCTTGGCCTAGACAAATTTAAAATCTTGAGCAGTATCTACCGCGTCTAGCCACTGAGCTACACGAGCTTGCTTCAATTCCTCAGCTTGCTTCAATTCCTTGGATCCAAACCGGAGGCTGAGTTACTGGAACCCTGCGGAGTTCTCCCATAGGGAAAAGCCTTTGTGTATTTATGGGAGGATTCATCTGCCCCCTGTTGTAGATCAAAAGCAAATTATCATATCTTACGAAAACAAAAAGAGTCAAATCGTTTACATTACAGGTTTTACTGCGATTATTTTTAAATTAATTTTTAAATACTCGGTGAGCTCAGCATTTAACATAATTTTGTGTTTAGGCAGCGTATGATTTTTAAAAACTTTTTTAAAAGTTTCTTAAAACTGGGATGAAGAAGTTTCCCTGAAATACACGTAGAAAACTTTTTGCACAGGTGTGTGTGAGGCTGGAGACCACGCAGATAAAGTCAACACAAGATTCAGTATCGCACAGCGGGGATGCCGAACCCCCAGAGAACTTGACAGATGAACTTAAGATATGCTTCTCTCAGCATGAAAACGTGGACAATTTCACTGGCTCTCCTTGGAGCTTCCTCCTCAAGAGGATTACACTAGTTTTTCCCATTACCTTGCTCAGGGACAAAGTAAGAACCTACCCTGCGACCGCGCTAGTGGTCCGACGGCAGGACACGCGGCGCCACCTGCTCCAGGGGGCCGGCCGGCCCGAGCCCGGAGTGGACCTTGCGATGCTGAACGAGGTTGCAGTGGTAAATGAAGTTCTTGCCGCACTCCTCACACTTGTAAGGCCTCTCCCCGGTGTGAATTCTCTGATGCTTAATGAGGACAGAGCGTCGGCTAAAGCTCTTGCTGCACTGGCCGCACTGGAAGGGCTTCTCCCCTGTGTGGATCCGGAGGTGATGGAAGAGCCCGGCGTTCTGGCTGAAGGCCTTCCCGCAGATGCCGCACTGGTAGCGCTTCTCCCCGGTGTGGAGCCTCTGGTGCTGGAACAGGCCTGAGCGCTGGCCGAAGGCGCGCCCACACTCCTCGCACTCGTAGGGCTTCTCCCCCGTGTGCGTCCTCTGGTGCTCGATAAGGATGGAATTCTGGGTGAAGCTCTTCCCACATGCACCACAGACATAGGGTCTCTCCACGGAAGAGCTTGGCCGCTGCCTCTCCAGCCTGCCGTCCCGCTCACAGGGGTCTCCGCGCTCAGTCACCTGAGCAGCATCACTGTTCGGTTTCTCCAGTGCTTCCACAAGAGGCCTCGTCTCTGTAGAAAGCTCCCTCTCTAGGCCTAACTCCACGTTCCAAGTCCCGGCCTCACCACCTGAAACAGCAAGGGGAGCATGCGGGTGTCAGGTGTCCAAAGGGGAAGGGGGAAACCAGCCAGGAGAGGGGGTGGGAGGGGACGAACAAGCGCAGCTTCTGTTCACTTCTCCTTTGCCCTCAGGGAGAAGACGGGCTGAACTGTAACTGCGCGGTCAGCTGCCGCCGGCCCCGGGGGGCCACAGTCTTCCTGAGGGCAGGGGCGCGTCTACCTCGCTTGGCATGGTCTCCCCAGGACCAACCGCAGCACCTGGTGCCCAGCAGATGCGGAACAGATGTGCTGAACGGGGGGGCGGCACTTAGGGAGTGAGGGAGGCCTCCTGAGAAAAATCCCGATCCTCACCGATCGGAACCGGGCACAGCTCGCGTGCACCGCACCAATGCAGCTCTTCCGAGGGCTGGAGCCGGCCACCTGGCAACTCCTGGGCTGGTCCCCGAGCTGCTTTCTCCTTCGCAAACTCTCCCTGTTCACAAGCATAGCTTGGGACCTGGCGGAAATTACGGATGGTTAGGAATCAAATGTGAGAGGCACCCTGTAAGGGGATCTCCCCTGGTCCGCCGTATAGGAAAAGGCGGCCCAAGAAACTGGCAACAAGAGAGAGGCAGAGGGATGGAGAGCCCACAACACACCACATCAGGCACAAAAGGCCTTCCTCCCCTACCTCTTGCTACATGAAAACCCCACGCTTGCTCCTGCAGGTACAAACCTCTGTGCTCCCATCTTCCACCAGCTCTCCTGGCTCATCCAGCTCCCTCTCCAGGTCCTCCAGCGCGGCCACCGCCTGCTCCCCGCTCTCAGGGCGGCGCTCCCGCACCCAGGCCTGCAGCTCCTCGGGCAGGATGGTCAGGAACTGCTCCAGCACCAGCAGCTCCACGATCTGCTCCTTGCTGTGCGTCTCGGGCCGCAGCCACTGGCGGCAGAGCTCCCGGAGTCTTCGAAGAGCTTCGCGGGGCCCCGGGGTCTCCTGGTAGCAGAACTGCCGGAAGCGTCTCCGAAAGATCTCTCTGGTGTGAGGGTTCTCTCTCCGCAGGCCAGATTCCTGCCCACAGCCACAATCCCCCTCTTTCTCTTCTACCTTTACTGCCTGAAGTCCTTCCTGCATCTCTGAAGTCTGTAGGACCAAGGCTGTGGCCATCTTAGACTTAACTCTTCAGAGAGAGTCTATTCTCGATGATTCCTCTTTGATCTTTGCTTCTGGAAATCCCAAAATCTAAAAAGTAATTGCAGAGAAAAAATACTAAAATGTTAAAAATCTTCTCTGCTGGCAGACACAGGAGTATCTGTAACAAAAGCAGTCACTGTCACATTTTATATTGAGACTCAGAACACGCATATACATGTACGTATGAATGTTATGTTTGTGCGTGAGATACACACCTACACAAGTAACTGAAATAATAATTTCACAAAACACTATGTATCCTGAATTATGTGACACACACTATTATTTTTAAAATCTTGCTTTTTAAACCCCAAAACAAAAAACCCTGGTCATAGCCTACCATAAGGACTTCATGATTCACATACGAATCATGACCTATAGCTTTAAAAAGTTTCTAAATTTAAGTAAAAGAATTACAATTCACTGTAAATGTAACCCAACACTATTCTTGGGTATTGGCATGCATTGCAAAATAAAAACTAGGAACAGTGTATTTAAGTTCTGAACACAGCTCACACTACAACTAGGAGAAAAGTTAAATCCATATTGCCACTATTAGTTCTGCTTCTCAAGGAGGGAAGAACCACTGGGGTGGGGAAGCATGCTTGTGGATGCAAACATAACCCCCTCCACAAATGTCTACCACTTCTGGCTTCACCGACCTCTCTAGAGTCACCACTCCAGGAAGAGTCGAGAGGGTTTCCCCCTCCAAAGACAAGGATCCCTGAGCTTTTATTCCCCCCTCCCCCACTTTTCTTGATGCTCACTCACTGTCACTTTGAGATCCACATTATCTTCTTTCAAAACTTCTCACATGCCACTCATACATCTGGCAGTACTCATTCCAATACTGCTCTCGGCACTAGACAAGGGGCCCTAACAAAACAAAGTCCCCACCTTGATGGAACTCACATTCTAAGCACAGTACCGATAGCAGCTGACACTTCTCTTGCTTTCAAGGTACCAGGCTTTGTACTAGATGTTTCACAGGCGTCAACTCACGGACTCCTCGAAACAACCCTAAGGGTTTGCTACTACCCACATATGGACAGATGAGAAAACGGAGGCCCAAAGAGCTGGAGTCACTTGCCCAAGGTCTCACACACAGGAAACAGTGAAGCTGCCTTTCCAAAAATCTACTTCAGAATTCACAGGCTCAACAACCACCCCACTGTCTCTCCTATAAGTGGACAGGAAGAAGGGAAAAGGATGAAGGAAGGAGCCAGCAGGCACAGACAATAATGAAATAGATGTTAAACAGCATAAAATAGTACATATTATAGTGTGTGTATATATGGTATAATTATTATACCATAATTAATTATGGTATAATTATAGTATAATTATATATTATATATTATATATAATTTTGTACAATTATACTATAATTACAGTATATTACATATTTATATTATATATAATATGTACAAATAGTATATCATATAATTATATATTATACTATAATATATAATATATACACAATATTATTAATATCATATAAAAGCAATTATTAATTTTGTTAAATTATTGATTTTATTAAATTATTAATTTTATTAAAAAACAATTATTAATATTGTGTATATATATTATATAATACTTATATAATTTTATAATTTTATAATTTTAATACTTATATAATTATATAATTCAATTATTAATTTTATTAAAAACAATTATTAATATTGTGTATATATTATATATTATATAATACTATATTATAGTATATATTATATATTAATTATAATATATTAAAAATATATTTTTAAAAGATTTTATTTATTTATTTGAGGGAGAGTAAGAGAGAGCATGAGAGAGGAGACGCAGGCTTCCCAGAGCTGGGAGCCCAATGCGGGACTCAATCCCGGGAATCCAGGAACATGACCTGAGCCAAAGGCAGTGGCATAACCAACTGAGCCATCCAGGCGCCCTTCCACTTTGGTTTTAAGTCAAAGATTTTCTATTCACAGAAAATGAATCTGAAGCTTTGCGCTCTGCTCATAGAAAGTCATTCTGCTATATGGTGTTTCAAATCTTCACTCAGTTTCACTACAATCAATCCCCTCTATTCTCTGTATAGCCTAGGGGCTCCCTTTTGCTTTCCTCTCCTGCTCTTGCTTCTTCTGCCTGGTGGCCTAAAATCCCACGGCCTCACGCCAGCACATCGTAGCTCCTCTTTGAACCCAGTGCCTGTAAAATGCTTCCCAAGTGTTTTACAACTCTGCCCTCCCGGTCACAAACAGTTTTTTTTTTTTTTTAAAGATTTTATTTATTTATTTGACAGACAGAGATCACAAGTAGGCAAAGAGGCAGGCAGAGACAGAGAAAGAGAAGCAGGCCTCCTGCTGAGCAGAGAGCCCGATGCGGGGCTCGATCCCAGGACCCTGGGATCATGACCTGAGCCGAAAGCAGAGGCTTTAACCCACTGAGCCACCCAGGTGCCCTTCACAAACAGTTCTTAAGCTCTTTTAGGTTCACCACCCCACTCTAAGATCTTCCTCGACTTACACTGGGGTTATGGCCTCATGAACCAACCCATCACAAGTTGAAAACAACACACACTGAAAGTGCACTGAATGTACCTCACCCACCAAACATCACGGATTAGCCTCACCTACCTTAAATATGCTCAGAACACTTATGCTAGGCTCCAGTCGGGCAAAATCCCCTAACACAAATCCCATTTTGTAGTGAAGTGTTGAAAGTCTCATGTACTTTACTGCGTATTGTACTTAAAGTGAGAAGCAGAACGGCTGTATGGGCACAGAACGGCTGTATATATCAATATATATCAGCTGTTTCTTGTAAGTTTTTCTGGAGAAAAGACCAAAACTCGAAATTTGTAGCACTGAACATGAATCACCTTCCCATCATCGTTAAGCTGAAAAATCATCCCTTCTTGTTGGGGACCATCTGAATATGCCAGGTATATAATTAGCATAATAATCGCTTGCACTTAGAAAACAAACAAACAAAATTTGCATTTTAAAGCTGGATTCTCTTAGAACCCCAGCAAGCTCAATACCCCCAAATCTACCATGACTCAGGGAGAAATGCTCTTCACCAAGGATAGGCAGGTAGGGGAAGACCAAGCAGCATGAGATACAAACGTGTCTTTATCATAATGTATCCCCACATTCTCCTCAGGTGTCACCATCTAAGGCCCCCCACGACTTATCGGACACATCCCCACATTCCCAAGCCTGGTTCAGGGCTAGTCACATCTCCAGCTTCAACTGTGGGGCCCCACTCTTGTTTTCCTCTATTCCACATGCAAAAACTGCCAGTTCCACTTGGGCCTTTCTTCTCACTATTCTTTCATCAGGCTTTCCTCATCCGTGTTCCATGCCTGTGGTCTTGCCTTCGGCACTTATGCAAACCCCACCCAGTCTCTGCACCTTGATTGACTCTCACGTCCTCTGAGGTCTTCCTCATCCATTCCATCACCCTCTTCCTCCTTCCAGCTCTTAGATCACGAGCCCCACCTTTTACTTCAGTCACAATCTATCCTGTGGTTACTTCTCATATAAAAAAAAAATCCAAAACGTACAGGATAAAGAATTCCTTCATCAGAAGTAGACATTGTTAAAGATTAGAACGGACCCTTTCAGACTTTCTCTGTCCATCTTTAATCTCAGGCACAGGAGTGCGCTTCACCCACATGCACAAAACCCAGCTCTTACCCTCCCTATTAATCTGCAGTACCTAGAAGGTAGTATGAGGCGGCAGATCTAGTTGTGAATGCTGACCTACTAGCAGTGTGATCTTGGGCGAGTTACCTGATTTTCCTGACCCTCAATCTAATTAACGAAACGAGGACAGCTACTTTGCAAAGTTGTCAAGGACAGTAAATGAGACGACGTATATAAACTGGTTTTGCATGAAGCCTGGCACTTACTAAGCTTGCAAATTAACCACCTTCTCAAGAGATAATGTGCAATTTTTGGCTTAAGGTGGCTAAATGAAACGCTGCTACCTCCCCTCGGCGCCAAGAGGGTCGTGTTTTCTGCGGCCCAAAGCACAGGGTGGGTAAGTGGGCGGGGAAACATGCAACGCACAGGTGAACACACAACTAAAACAGCGGACACACACCCGATCAGGTCTGTTCTTCTCCCATCTCAAATCCTCACTAGAAGCCCAGGACAACTGAGGTCCGAAAAGTGGAGGATGAGACTCCAGTGAGAGAAGAACCGACCTGGGTTGAGTCTGTAAGGCTGACGCAGAGTCCGCACGGCAGACGGACCCCGGAGCCGGGCAGCCCGGAGGCGCGTCCTACGACGGCAGCTGCTTGGCCCTGGGACGGTCCTGACCTCCTCCTCTCTCCACGTTAGAAAAGGGGGAAGGAGGGGAGCTCACGTGACAGCAGCGCGGGCCTCCCAGAGTCCTGACAAGGGACTAAGTTAGTACTTGGAAAGTGCCTTCCACGACGCCTGCCCGAACAAAACAACGGCTATTTAAGCATTTGCTAAAAAGGGGAAAATCAAGACAAGGCAAGAGCCTCCGCCGTCGGTGGAGCAGACTACGAGAGGCCGCGGCGCGTTGTAACGCGACTCCTGCTCCTCGCTCAATCGGCCCCCAGCAGCGGCCGCCGGACGCCGGAAGAGGTCGGCGGAGGCCGGCAGGGTGACGGGGGCGGGTCCGGGCCGCCTCCCCCACCCAGGCCGGGCGCCGCGCACACACCAGCCCCTTTAACGGCCCTCGGCGGAGCCGGACTGCGAAGCTCACCCGGCATCCGTGGGAGGAGGAGGCCACCCGGCCAGACCGCACCCCCTCCGAGTCCTTGACAACCGCCGCTGAGGAGAGCTGGGCTACAAAGGCCGGAAGTGCGTCACGCGGACCGCCTCCCGGGGACAGCGCTTCCGACAGCATTCCTTCTAGCAGGCCCGGAGGTCTCACGCCTCTGTGATCGCCTCGCGAATCTCCTCCCCAGTGGAGTGAGGCGAGGGGAGGCGTAGTGTCTCCCAGGCCGGCAAGTGCAGTAACGGCCAACTTAGAGTTTTGCACGTATTGATTGACTCATTCATTCTAAATAGCAACGCTGTAAGTTCGGCGCAATTATCCCCATGCAACAAATGAGGAAACTGACGTGCATTCCTTCCGCCTTTCTTAGTGTCATTCCTGCAAAGAAACAGTTTTT